TTCCCCCCACAGCGCCTACACCGATCGCCATCATCCAACTATCCATCTACTATCCCAATCCCGATAGCAGCTAACATACACTAGCTTGGTTGAACTTGACTTTGTATACATCCACTCAGCCATATAAATATTATATATATATATATATATATATTTATTCCCTTTTTGCTTATTATGGCGATATACCCCAGCCTGTTTTCGGTATCGTTGGTCTCTCGATGGCCAAGCGCTTGTCGCGTGGGAGTTGGCAGGGCTTTCGTTGGAGGGCAGCAGCAGAGGGTTTTTCATTCCCGGTTATCTTTCGTGAATGGTCACACCGCGTCGGAGGCGAGGAGTGCAAGTCGTATCTCCAGTGGTACTTGCAGGGTCAATCGGAATCTGACAGGGAACGTCTGGGATCGCAGCCTCACTAGTCGGTTCAGGAGGTAGGGTTGGACTTGATTTGCTCCCCCCCCCCCCCCCCCATTCGCTTTGCTTTGCTTCTTTCGATCAGTGTGACATTGCACTTCAGCTGGGGGTTTTTTTGTGGGCTTGCTGATGGATGCGGTTGTAGTGTTTCCGTGACGGGTCACGGTCACGGCCAGGGACAACGGAGGTTCGGTACTGGTACTGGTGCCGACCCGGAAAAGAAGGTTGCAAGGTATGTTGGTTCCTTGTGATTGTACAGACCCAACCGTCCCAGCTAACCTTGGCCCCCTCCCCTCCCCCCCCCGATGGACAAGTTCGAACACGGCGGCAGCTAAGAAGGCAGTCGTGCATGAAAACATCTATACGATACCCAACTTCTTGACTGCCTCGAGACTGGTGGTGGCACCCATAATCGGCTACTGCATCCTCAGCGGGAGCAACACGCTTGCTCTCTCGCTCTTCGCGTACGCTGCTGTCACCGACCTGGTGGACGGCTACATCGCGAGAAAATGGAACCAGCAGACCGTCGTCGGTACCGTCATCGATCCCATGGCCGATAAGTTTCTAATGACTATCGGAGTCGTCTGTCTGGCCATGAAGGCTTCTATACCTAGTTCGTCTCCCTCTTTCGTTCTCACGTTTGGACTATATTAACGTGAACAGTGTGGCTGGCCGGCCTGATACTTGCTCGAGACGTCGGGCTTGCGTTCGCCGCTATATACTACAGATGGATATCGCTTCCTCCGCCCAAGACGATGACACGATACTGGGACTTTTCCCTTCCTTCGGCGGAGGTGAAGCCCACGGAGGTCTCGAAGGTTAACACAGCGCTGCAACTGGCTCTGCTTGGGTCTGCGATGGCCATGCCTGTGTTGCCAGAGGCCGTGATGACTGCCTGGTACTTGCAAGAGGGCATGGTTGGACTACAGTAAGTCTTTTCTTGCTATCTTGAGAGCTGCACACTCCCGCTATCTACCCTCTCCTCCTCTATGTCTGGTACATACGAACATAGGAAGTGGAAAACAGAGCTTCCCGTCCGCTCAGCTGTACTTAAGCCACTTGCCGGTCGGTTAGTAGTTGGGTGGGTGACCACCAGCGAATCCCGACTTTCGTATGTTTTTATATTTTTTTTTTTATTGGTGTCTCTTTTTCTAACACTCGATAGATATCTCGTCGCTTTAACCACGTCGTGGTCTGGCCTGCAGTATATCTTCAACAAGGACGTCGTTCGCATCCTACACGATAACAAGAGCAAGGACTCCGACTCCAAGACGAATTAGCGAGTGTGTCGTCTACGTGTATGTATTGTATCTTTGTTGCAAGCGTGGCATCTTCCATATCTTGTTCTTCTGCGGTTTTCTTTCTGTTGGATAGCATGTAAGACTAGAGCATTGTATGGATGGTTTGAATCTTGTCTTCTACCAATATACACAAGATACATAGCTTCCGTCTCATCTCTTGACGTGATAGCACACGCACTCTAGACATCCTCTAGACATCCCCCGTTAAAGAGTCTTGGTCTTGTAAAAGTGTCCAGCCAGCATGGAGAGGATCAACTTTTGTCCGCCAAAAGTGTTGAAGCTCAACAAGTTGAAGCTATCTCGGTGATATTAACAGTCGGTCTCTTGATCTGCCCTGGGCTTCTTTTGCTTCATCCTTCGATCCTTCGCTCTTCTCCGTTTTTCGATGTGCGATGTCTAGTCTTATTCTTAGCTCCTGTTGATTCCTCTTGGTTGTACTGGCCTCTTGGGTTGCAAGAATGTTGCCCTACATCAACGCTCGTTCGTGTATCCCCACCATAAGAGATAGTAACTAATACTTCTTCTGCTACTGCTGGTGTTATTGACAACTACATGCCGCAGCTTTCGCCGCCGCTGGAGAGGTCATCGGCGCATCTGCTGATGAACGTATGTACCATATCTCTGTCCTCGACGTCTAGTTATAATGCTAATGAGTATATACAGTCAAACTTATAACCTCGTTCCTTCTCTCGTACCCGCTCGCTGGTATATTAAAAAGGATACCAGACTCCCAGCCCTGGAAGAAGAATGCTTTCATCATCGCTGTCTCGCTGTTCTACCTGGTGGGCCTGTTCGATCTCTGGGACGGGGTGCGGACGCTGCTCTACTGCTCTGCGGGAGCATATGCCATCGCATACTACGTGGATGGCTCGATAATGCCCTGGGTTGGATTCGTGTATCTCATCGGTTACATGTCTGTCAGCCATATCATCAGACAGATAATCAATGACCCGTCCACCGTCGACGTTACCGGTGCGCAGATGGTGCTGGTCATGAAGCTGAGCGCATTCTGCTGGAACGTACACGACGGTCGACTCCCAGACAGCCAACTTACCGATGCCCAGAGACATGCAGCTATCAGAAAATTCCCCAGTCTGCTTGATTTTGCCGGATACGTGCTGTTCTTCCCTTCCCTACTGGCTGGCCCGGCGTTTGACTACGTGGAATACAGACGGTGGATCGAGACCACCATGTTTGACCTGCCGCCAGGTGTTGATCCGTCAAAGGCTGCGCCAACCCGTAAGAAGCGCAAGATCCCTAGGAGTGGGCGGCCTGCTGCCCTGAAAGCAGCCATGGGATTAGCTTTCGTCGGTGCTTTCATCGTGTTCTCGCCCGTTTATACCACTAGTCTGTTGTTGAGCGACGAGTATGCCCAATACGGATTTTTCAGAAAGATATGGGTCTTGTATGTGTTTGGGTTCGCCGCACGCTTAAAGTATTATGGTGTATGGGCTTTGGCTGAAGGTGCCTGTATTCTGTCCGGAATGGGATACAACGGTGTCGACCGCAACACCGGCCAGGTATACTGGAACAAACTGGAGAATGTCAACGCCTGGGGTCTCGAGACCGCTCAGAACCCTCATGCCTTCCTTGCAAACTGGAACAAGAATACAAACCACTGGCTGCGGAACTACGTCTACCTTCGAGTCACCCCCAAGGGCAAGAAGCCTGGGTTCCGAGCTAGTCTAGCTACATTTGCAACAAGTGCCGTCTGGCATGGCTTTTATCCTGGCTACTATCTGACCTTCATCCTGGGCTCCTTCGTACAAACAAGTGCCAAACGTATGTGTACCAGACGAGCTCCCTACTCAAGTTAAGGTGTTAACATCTCTCTACAGATTTCCGCCGTCATGTCCGTCCATTTTTCCTATCGCCTGACGGCACTAAGCCGACTTCTTTCAAGGTATACTACGACGCCGTGAGCTGGCTCGCCACTCAACTTACCATGAGCTTCGTCGTTGCACCATTTATTCTCTTGGATTTCACCGACTGCATCACCCTCTGGGGTCGTGTCTACTTCTACATAATAATAGGCATAGTGGCAACTCTTACCTTCTTCGGCAGCCCAGCCAAAGCCCAACTAACCAGAAGACTGAACAAACGCAACAAGAAGGCCACTGGAGCAGCAGCAGCACCAGCACCAGCACCAGGAAAGCCCTCTGAAAGAGAAGCCGCAAATGAAGCTGCAGCCGCCAAAGCTAGAGAAAAGGCTCAAGCTGATGCCAGAGAGTTACGGGCCGGCGAGACTCCTTACACCGAGCAACCTCTCGGTTTACCCAATGATCTGGCACAGGACGTCGAGGATGCCGTGAATGAAATGAAGAAGGAGATTGAAACCAGGCGACGACGAGGAAGCCTAGTCACGATGCCTACTGGCGCCGAGTTGAGGATTGCACTGGAACAAAAACTAGGAAAGGCACTCTCCGATATGCAATCATGAAATATTGAAAGAGGTGGAATAAGCTGTTTGACTTCCGCGGGGTGGTTTTTGAGAAGGTTATATAAAATATCACTATTATTATAATAAGGTCTTTCGGCGCTGGTATACGTCCTTGTTGGTCTACTCCCTAGGTACCAGACAAGGCGGACACGAAGGTTAGATGGACCCTAAGTTCACTTTTCCTAAGGTTTCGGGAACGAAAATAATATATATACTCTTTCTTTTCTCTTGGACTATAAAGGATGGTAATACATGTTTATTTATTTAGCGTTCAAACGTTAAGTAGTTTTCTGAGATTGGATGAAAGCTGCCATTTCCCGAAGTGCGATCACATCTATAGTGTATTACTGGCAACTCGCTACTTTCGTAGTGTCAATAGGGAGAATAAAAGTTGTAATGAGGAACAGGTGTTTTGACATAGTGCTGAGAGCGCTGGGGAAGAGAAAAAAAGAATATGTAATCTCAAATATTAATCAATCTTTTTACATGTACCTTCAACAAAATCGTATCAAGCCACCTAACATGTTGCAATTTTATAGGCGTAGTGCGTACGTATAGAAGAAGACAAATTGGCAATCTGAGCGTGGTATAAAGAAGAAGGTGGAAAGGCGTGGTATATAGATGAAGTAGAAGGTGATAAAAAAAAAGTTGGTTGAAGAACCAGAAACAAGTTGTTTCGACGAATGAAAATGTGTAGGTGTTGTAAGTGGGATAATAAGGTATAAACAGTAGAGTTGGAGGGGGATCAAATCAAAGTAGGTGCTTGCAAGATGTCGTAAAGCAGTTGAAAGACCCGAAAGTAAAGTCGAAGCAAAGGAATTGCGCGCTTTCGTTAAGTCGTGGAAGGAGATTTATTCCCCTAAATGTGCGTTGTTTGGTGAGAAGCAGGACGAAAGAAAAAGTTGAATATAAAAAAGCCAAACCATCATAGAAAAACGTGGGACCGTAAACGGTAGGATATATGTAAATATATATCGGTTGCCGTATGAGGAGCGTAAAAAAGGCATAAGTACTATAATTAATGTTGTTTTACAACATGAAATCAAAAACGAGGTCATGTATCATAGTGCGTTTCGTGATCCAAGAACGGATAGTGTAATCTGTTACAGATATTAGCGGAGGCCTGCAGTGTTATATGTTGCCAGAAGGATGGACACGTACAACTATTATAATGATTGACAAGCCGACTGGCGTCATGCAACGGTTCAAGTTCCGCCACCACCGGGCATTTTCGAAACGCAAGTTGCCAACCAAGGCTGCTCGATGGGCAGTTGCTTTCTCGACATCCGGTTGTTTGCCTGTCTCGTCGTCCACGGATGGTGGTTTTATTGGCAAAGGAAGAAATGAAGCGATCAACCAGGCTGTGGATGTACAAGGTCAGCATATAAAAGGCAAAATTCCTGTAAAAAGGGAGTAGCAGGGTTTACCTAATGGAAAGATAAAACCGATGCAGAAACTGAAAACTTGCATATTTCGTCTACTCCATATGTATTCACCGGACTCGTCATATGGAGGAGCTCTCCAAACCTTCCTGTTGGTCGAACGAAAGCGCTTATCGGTGTACAAGTGTGGTGACCAGACGCCTCTGGGTGTGGCTTCGCGTGAAGGGGGTTGAGGTGTAATCTCATCTTCACCGACGATACCGGCCCAGTGCGTCCTCGGGTCGCGCGAGTCCCGACGGACCGCCTTGGGTTTAGGCTGCGATTGGGCTTGCTCTTGTCCTTGAGCCTGTATCTCTGGTTCTGGGACAGGTACCGATTCCTGCTGCCGTTGTGGCTGGACATCTGGCTGGACATCTGGCTGGACATCTGGCTGGACATCTGGCTGGACATCTGGCTGGATTTGTCGTTGTGCAGGCTGGCTCTCACGGCGAGGTCGTGTTCGTGGACGGGTGAGGGTCCCAGGTGCCATGCGGACAACAGCTTGATTCGACACTTGCTCCAGAGGCTCCGAATAGGAAACATGCGTCACAGCCTGCAGTTCTCGGGGGGTATTCGGTCGGCTAACCTCGACAAGAGAGACTGCTGAGAGGAACGCAAGGTTACCGCCTTGGTAGTATAGCTTCGCCCATTGGGGGATGGTGGTCAAAAACTGGCTTGCGGTCGACCCTGATCGGCTAAGAGAACCATGCCTCGAGATGGATGAGCGATAGCTTAGGGTGGCGGATGTCTTATGTTTTAGGACGCGCAACGCATGAAGATGTGTGATGCGGTCGCTGGCTTCATCCATTTCGGATTCATCCATCATTGAGTAATCTGGCATACCGGATGTCTGGCGTGCGGAAAGCCAAGATTGCTCTGTTTCTGTCACCTGCCTAGACCTATCGGGGGTACCATCAAGGGAGAGGGAGGGAAGATTATGCCGTTCATCCATGGGAATTGACAGTTCCGACGATACGGAGGACAAATCCGGGTTCCAGCGTCTGGTTGGAGGTCGGACTAGCGACAGGGGCTCTGGGATAGAGACTATCGAGGTATCTGCAAACGAACTGGACGATGAGGGTGGACGTAACATCGGGTACTGTATAGGGACTCTGTCCATGACGTCCTGGATATCAGCGTCTGATGGTATGCCCGGCGAAGAAACGTTCCCCTGACTTGACCGAGCATTGAGGTCGAGAGTAGACGTTGACTGATAGGACCTTAGTACCGGAACCGGAGGACTCGATGGTATGGATGGTGTCCTGGAATCAAATCGATTTACAGAGGCCGATTCCGAAGCGCTGTTTTGCTCTCTTCGGTTGCGGATATACCTGATCGCTGTGCCAAAGGAATTTGCCGAGAACAAGGATGAATCGGAAACCCTAGTCCTGATGACGTTGGGGGAGGAGCTGATGGGAAGCAAATTAGGCGACGAGCTGTTCAGGGGTACCAAGTTGGGGCTGGAGGTATATCCAATTCGGGCAACGTTCGAGGATGCATTGGAAGAGGACGAGTGACCGCGGGTAATTGAACATCCAATTAGGAGCGAGCCGTCAGAAGGAGGAGACCTGCTTGAACGGGACGTGTCTCTTTGGCTGACCAATTTGATGGTGGCAGCAGGCCTTGGAAGCGCTGTCACGCTGCTGCGGTCGGAGGATTTCTCCTGATCATCGCTGTCACCGTTCTCTGAAGCATGTGGGGTATCCGAACGAGCAACCGTGGTGATACTCGATTTTGGGTCCTGCCCCCATATCGTACTTGAGGTGTTCCCCATAAAAGTGGAAAGGTCCGAGGCGCTGCCGGATGGTTGTTGTTGGCTAGAACTGGGAGACTCTAGCTCTGGAGAAACGCTGGATCTAGACCCCCATCTATCCGAAGCGGTGATTGTCGAGGGGCTCCCGTTCCTTGATATGCGGCCTCTGGCTGAGGAACCCGGGGGCAACAGCACATGGGCGGGCTTGGTGGGATATGGGTTGGCGGAGTATATGTCGACATCGTCCGGGTTGCTGAAGACCTCGTCGTCCGAATCATCGTACCTGTTTGATACCAATCGAAGCGTCGGAGAAATTGGGCGGGCCGGTGAAACTGGACGGATGACATTGTTCTGCGAGTTTGTTCGTTCATGGAGCGGACGGCGCTTTGGAGTAGACCTTCGAGAAGAAGGAGAAGACATGGACATAATTATCGTAGATGCGGTATCGAAGAACTTCTCATCGCATTAACGGACTCGACAAGAAGGTTCGTTCTGTTCCCAGGGAAATGCTTTTGAAGGTGCAGTATGTAAACAGAATATTATATAGAAACAATATAGTAAGAAAAAGAGCGATAAGAAAAATACTCCCGCAAAAGAGGGTACGGTGGAATCGAAATCGATAGTGAAAGGACCCGGAATTAAGGCTGAAGAAATGGTCCCGTAGCGAGTGTCAATGTAGAAAAACGGTCTTCGCAGAGTGAGAGTCAGTGAATGAACGGCAAGGCGCCTATAGTATAACCGCCCAAAGGGGAGCTGGACCGGGGGAGGGCTGCAGTGAAAGACTGATGCTGGAGGTGTTTCAAAGGCGGTTAAATATAGAGTGATCGCGGTGTGCTAACTGGGTGGCAGGAAAAAGCTTATTAAACGGGTAGTAATTATGGGTGAATTATGTATATATAAAGAGTGACTGTGAAAAGGAAAGACAAGCAAGAAATAATCGCAAATATACGACAAAAGACGAAGAAAAAAGGGACGAAAAGACGAACGAAAGATGAAGTTTTTTTTCTCCTCTGAAGATTCGCAGCCGAAATGAAAAAGGGAGAACAAGGCAGTCACGGGGTATTAGTCATCACGTACGTGGAGGGCGGTGAGCGGGCCGTTTTTCTTCGGGTGGGGCCGCTTGGCAGAAAGAAGATAAGATCGAGATAAGATAAATATAGATCAGTAGATGGGATGGTAGAGAAAATGCATGGAAGATGGCAGGAGATGGCAGGAGATGGAGCATGTGAAGGGTATATGAAGGGCCATACATAAGAGAGTTGAGGGCACAAACGCAGAAGGACCCCGGACTGGGCAGACGACTGGTTGAGGGCGTCGCACGGGGAGTTCGCTGAAGGGACTCGACCTGCTCCGTACTTGGCGTGCCTTGTTACAGTCGGTTGCCAGAAGTCACCACGCCAGACCCACCGTCCAGAAGGCTATTGAGAGAAGGGTCATACGTAGCAGTACCTGCATAGTACAGGTATATTCTCAGGAACAAATAAACATCGTCAGTCTGTGTTTCATATGATAAAAACACATTGTCTTCCATTCTTCAACGAGATCACACAAGTTTCTATTGCTAGGGGCAAATCCCGCTACAATAAAGTCACTGCTTTATAAGGCTTGTGGAAGAACCGGGATAGTTCGAGTCGGATATATGCCCAAGTTACGGAAATAATCTTCACTACCAAGCGTGGTGAATTGCATGACCCTGAAGTGATCTCCAGAGAAGTTGGATTCAGGCTGGCGGAGACTCACGGCATGAAAAAAGGCGCTGCCGACATCCGTGAGCTAAAACATGGGCTTAGCCTGGCTCACCCGTGGGCACTTTCTTTCGAGTTGATAAGGCCCGAGGAAGCGTGTATGGATGACCAGTTTAGTTGGTGATTCGCCCAGTGTTGTTTTATCGTCCACCCCCAAAGAATAGGGGCTAATAACCTCCAGCCTATGAATATTACAGTATTAACTTAGACATCACTATTTACTAGCATTGTCATTGGCCAAATAGATCAAGTTATATTTAAATATACCGGGCTTGCCTCACTTTTAAGCCATCCTTGCTCTAGTATTCAAGGGTTTTATGCGGCCACGATACGGAGTCTGTCCTGAAGTTATGGATTACACAGCTCAAGGCGTAATAAGGGAGGAATGGCGGTTCCAGCATCACAGGCAATGCTACCACGCATAACCAGAGGGCTGAACACCCTCGACGGGCGGGGATACCGCGTGAATACTTTCTACATATCATATAACTGCGCTTTAGCTCCCGATTAGCCATTTCGACCTACAGTCCTTTGACCGGTCAAACCTTGCGACTCGACTACCTGAGCAAAGGCGGAAATAAGGGCCAATGGCGATGTTTGCTCGAGGCTGTTTAGCATGCGCATAAGTTATATGAACTGTCCAAAGTTGCTTGGAAACAATCTTGCTCGTACTCGAGCCGTCCTTGTAATGGTGGTGGGACTTGTGTAACGGGTACAACAGCTGTCTGATGGAGTTGACGCGGATAAAAGAAAAGAAAAGGATGTCAACACCCCGTACATATGCCATATGCTGTGCGCACTCCTCATGCAAGTCGTATGTCGTTGATGGACGTACCCACATCCGGACGCGCCTCATCGCGGGTCGTTTCTCCTACTGCAGGTCCATGGAACGCCCGTCACCAACAATTCTTCTATAAAGTTCTATATTTTGTGATTCGCGACGAGGCTCCCCCTGCATATGAAGCACTCTGTTAATAATTAATGGGTGGAGAAAGGAAAAATAATTATATATTTCGGTACCTTTCACGCCTCCACTCTTGAACACGGTCGTCTCGTGAAATCGAGTCTTGTTTGAAAATCCGCCGATACCGCCGGTGTCGTTGGCTGGGAATTGTTTGGCTGATGGCTGAAACGAGGATTGGGCCTTGTTCAGGGTCCCCTGTCTTGAGAGTTAACCCGTCCTCCGCCAATCAAGCTTGTTCTCGATACAGGAGTGCACAAAATATACTAAGTAGACTGAATGTCACGTTGGGTCGAAGGATGTAAAAGCAAAAGGCTGTGGGTGCCACCTTTTCGCATTAACCAAAGAGTACATAACGGCACTTGTTTCTGAGGCTTATGTATCTTGGTTTGAACTTTTGAGTTATCTCCAGGTCACAAGTAAGTGATAAGGTTGCTTAGATGCTGCTCTCTATCCAAAGTAAAGTACATAGTAAAGCACATGCGATGGCGTAAGTAGTTTAGGCGGTGGTAGCGGTCCCCCGAAGAACTCCCATTGTATATTCCTTGTCTTGTTTGCTGAGGGAAAATGTTTTGCGTTGTTCTTTTGTGGCTTGACAAAGCAAGGTCCAGATCGCTGAGCACATGACCACCAACATTCACACCACCACAAAGAAAAAAAAAACATCTCCCTTGAGCCATCATCAGCTCCCCGTGGCTGCGCATTTGTTCTGGAGGGTGCCTTGCAAGCTCTTGGGGTTCGGCTATACTAGAAAACTCGCGTTGTCTTGCTTGATGAAAGCAGGAAACATGGCTTCTGGGCTCTTCGAGAAGCTTAGACAGTACTATCACAGAAATAAAGGTACGTTTTGGTAAAGGAGAAGGGAAGAACGGCAGCTTGACGGCATAGCCGGCAGAAGGTTCTGACGATGGAATGAAGAACCTCAGCCTCTTATTTCAGAGACCACTGCCGTTTGGTGTTCGGTATGTATCTCTTCAACCCTGGATGTATCGTCTAGAGAAGAGCAGTGCTAACTGCAAGAAATAGATACTATGCACAATCCTATATGTTGCACCATTGTATACCTCAAAGGCGACTAGGCCTGGTCCGACATTGAGCCGTGATGCACCGTCACTGATCAAAGCTCGCATTCGCGCCGTCATGCTGTCATGCCTCTGCTGCAGCTTGGCTGCATTTTATTTAATCGTCCATAGTGGAAGGAGTAGCCCGTTAGAAGGCCTTCAGCTCCTAGGGTGGTGGCCGATTGGGTTTTTGGAAATCGGAAAGAGTTTACTGCTCACGGTACTGTTATTCATGGGTCCATTGTTCGAAATGGGAATTGCTGAAGGAAAGTGGAGGAGCTGGGTTAGAGGTAGGAATTTGGTTGAAACACTTCGAACCTGGGTAGGGTGGAGGAACTACGTGGCGGTCAGTCAATTCTCACTCGCCAGGTTGTCGCCATTCAGGTCTTGTGCACCATGATCTAACGAGCTAATAGGGCCCAGTAACCGAGGAAATAACTTTCCGATCAATCATCACCGTTATTCATCTAATGGCAAAAATGTCCCCAGTCCGAATTGTGTTTCTTACACCTCTATATTTCGGCATTGCGCATGTTAATCACTTTTACGAAACAAAGCTCGCCCAACCAAACGCCGCTCTAACGCCGGTTCTTATTCGTTCCCTTTTCCAGTTCACCTATACTACGATATTTGGATGGTATGCTACCTTTATCTACCTGAGGACTGGATCCCTTCCTGCCGTCATCCTGGTGCATTCATTCTGCAATTATTGTGGCCTACCTCGACTCTGGGGCCGGGTAGAAACGTCTATTCCTATCGAGAGCACTTTGATAAGAGCGGCCAAGTTCGACGAGGACGAGAACTTATTTGAAAGGAGCAACGGTACAACTGGTATTGGCTGGACTGTGGCATATTATATCATTTTACTGGCTGGAGTGGTATTATTCCGGTATCAGTTTTGGCCGTTGACGGAATCTTCAAAAGCCTTGGTGTCATTCTCACCAAATGCGCATTAAAAAGGGTAAAAATGGGCGGAGTATTCTGAGCGTTGTTTATTGTTACCTACTTTATAATACATTTAATTGTTCTTCAGGGTTTTCTGTTTACATTTCGTACTCAGTAACTCCGAAAATCCGATAGTCCCGATCGGCTCGGAGATAAAATCTTTGCAACTTCAATGCGATGGAAATTTCTATTCTTTGCGCAGAGTCGGTTTGTATAACTGTTGTTATTTAATAATTGTTGCGCATACAGCGACTCTTGTCTTCTCACCCCTCTAAAGTTAGGCAAAGAGGTTACAATGTGGAGGATACGCAGGCATGTTTTTCGAATTCGGCAAATAAGTTGCAACCAGTATTCCACATCTCGACGGATTCCTATTCCCATCCCTCCTCCATTCCCTGTTGTCCAGTCATGCCCTGAACCGACATGTTCCTGTGCTGCAATGCCAACTGGCCTTGAAATCGACTATGATCAAGATCTCAATGGTACCATGGCGCCCTACGCCCAGCAGGTCCTCATATCTACGGGACAGCGAGATTGGCGAAGTCGGATAGAAGACGATGGACTAGATCAGGGCTGGGGTATATTGGGTAGCCGGTTAAAGAAATTGGTGTTTAGGACGGGAAAATTCGCCGATGTAAGTTACATCTCTTCTAATCTAGGTCTATATCCTGAATCTTCGATCCTAATTTACATATTCCCGGGATTGATAGCCTTATAATAATATCGTTATTACAAACTCCTCTTTCACGCCTTCGACCGATCCATCAAATAAATCTGTTGCGTCAGCCTTCCTTTTTCCAAGCTTCCAATACATCCCTGACATCCCACTTGACGAAGATGGCTTGGATCGATTTGTTCGCGCGTTCCTCCTTCCTTTGAACCCTCATAAAGCGCACAGCATCCTACCTGCTGATAAACTACAAGCGATTAGAAGAGACCCGGAACTACAATCCACCTTCAAATCTATGACGAGCCTTAAACATTCGCCTACGATTTTGATCTGTGGTCATGGAGGACGGGATCAAAGATGTGGAATTATGGGACCTCTGCTTGAGTCTGAATTTGGCAATATTTTAAAGGATGAAGGATACACAGTTGGAATCACCCCGACCGATAAGGTCAAACACGCGAATGTTGGCTTGATAAGTCATATCGGTGGTCATAAATATGCTGGTAATGTTATTATATATTTACCTCCCTCTTTAAGATCAGGCTCGGGGGGCGCCAATATGTTGGCTGGGAAAGCTATATGGTATGGGAGAGTAGAACCAAAAAACGTACAGGGAATTATAAGAGAGACAATCTTGAATGGTCGTGTTATCAAAGATCATTTCCGTGGAGGTATAGATGCAGATGGTACAGTATTGCGATTATAGGCAATTGCCTTTTATTTATACTTGTATATAGACGCCATATAGACTCACACAACCAAGTGCATAGAGTGATTCTAGTTGACTGGGAATAAATAGCATTGGTAGCTCTTCATAGATTATTATCGATGAGGCTGGCCAGTCTAGCTTTCGGGCCAAAGATAAATTTAGTAACGACCAGGATTGGTGGATCTCGGGGATGATTCATGATGGCTCATCCAGCATCTTCATGAGAAACCCAAGCTTGTGACTCGACCAGACGCTGCCCAGGAAGCAAAGTGAAGATTCTCCTGCTTCTCTGTATCGGTCTCTACTTAAGTCGTTAAGATGAGGTTATATATATACTGCGACACCCGTCTCTGCGGTTGTCAAATAGTCAAAAATCATTCCATCCAATTCAGACTACTATCATAACGCCTAACTGACCGCCTCCTTCAGCTTCTTCATACCCACTCCTGACAAGATCTCCGTATACCGCTAAAGTGGCTGACGGTGGAGGAACCTGCGACCAGCTTCTACCAACCATGGATGATAAATCTCCTTCATTTTGCAGGTTATGCAATATAGCACTTGCCAGCCCAGATATATGGCGACAGCACGCTAGGAGCGAATGGCAGTAAGTTCTAACGCTACATTGGAAGAAAGAAAAATAGAGAAGGGAATTGTAAATCGCTGACGGCTATATTAAAGTATATATAATCTTCGTCTGCGAATAGCGGAGCCTGGAAGCGTTATATCACCGCCGCAATCAAGCACAAAAAAAACTCTTGGTACAAGGAATAATACCCCTTCTGAAAATGAAACAGATGAAAGTGATGTAGAGTCTCCTGCGGCGCCGGAATATAACCCCGAACAATGCCTATTTTGCGGAGAGACAAATGTTACCTTCGATGACAACCTTTTCCACATGTCGAAGGCACACAGTTTCATCATACCATATCAAGATAACTTGAAAGTTGATATGATGTCTCTCCTCAGGCATTTGTACCATGTCATTTATGCATCTCGTCGGTGTATTTTATGTGCCACTCGCCGGAGGACAGTTCAAGGTGTCCATCACCACATGATGGCCAAGGGCCACTGCCGATTTGATGTCTCCCCGGACATTGCAGACTTCTACATAGCTTCTAAGGCAAACAGCCGCAGATTAAGCAACGAAGCATCCGAAATCAGTTCGTTACTGTGGCTACCATCAGGCAGAGCTCGAGGCCGTCGTACTCGGCCAGCTAAATATCGTCGCACATCGGAACACAAGGAACCTACGCCCTTACCACTGTCAAATGGGATGAATGGACAAGAAAATACTACAACAGAAGATGACGATGCTGCGTCTGCTTCATACACCCAGCTATTACGACTTAGTCGAGGAGACCAGCAAGGCCTCGCACATCTGTCTAACCCCGAAGTCCGATCATTGCTTGCCATTAGAGCCAAGCACACAGACCAGTCAAGGCGAGAAGAGACGCATGCTAAACTCAAGCTTGAGAAAGCTGGAAACATAACCTTGACAGCTCACTTTCGGGCGGATACCTCTAAGCGCTTCAGAGGCCCCTGGGGATAAATGTGGAAGTGTAGATCTGAGTTGTACAGTAGCTTGTAGCAAAGTTCCATATGCATTCACTGGCTTAGTTTTTCACGCCTTTGTAAGAAAACAGCCCTAGAAACTACTTTACGAAATCATCAGTAGGGATTCAGCTCTGAATACAATCAATCTAGTATCTCGTTGCTTCCTTATCAATCTGATAAGATCTCGATCTAACCCATAACGGGAATAGTGCAGGAACGAACCAAATCTCCAAAACTTTCCAAGCTCGAACCTTTTGCTCTTTTTCGAATGATAACCTGGGAAAAGAGAACTGCAAGGACGATGAGCTCGGACTGCGATGTGGGTTCCCTGTACGTTTCGAGGATATGTCCGATTCGACGGACCGTCTATGATCTCGCGCCACCTTCTACATAGCCTTCGGTACCATCAAGCTCGCAATGCAAGCACACATGCCAATGCTAATAAGGCGATTAAGAAACTGGATCTTCTAGCAATCGATAAGCGATGGAAAGAAAAATGGAAGGAGAGCGTTCCTACAGCTCGGTCAACCAGCAATAACAAAGAAATGGCCTATGTGCTACCCATGTTCCCTTACCCATCTGGGACCTTGCACATGGGCCATGTCCGAGTTTACACCATATCTGATGTCCTAGCTCGATATAAACAGATGAAGGGCTATGATGTTTTACACCCAATGGGATGGGACGCTTTTGGCCTTCCAGCTGAGAATGCTGCGATAGAACGTGGAATCCATCCAGAGGGCTGGACAAAACAAAATATAGCAAACATGAAGGATCAATTAAAAGACTTGGGTATCAGGTTTGACTGGGATGCGGTATGGATTTTAATAAATCTCCCCTAGATAATATCTTCGCGCTTTAGGATGGCTTTTGCAATTGGACACTAATCAATACCGATTCATTATACTTGTAGGAAGTCATGACTTGCGCACCGGAATTTTACAAACACACGCAGAAACTGTTCTTAAAGCTCCACGAAAAAGGCCTGGCATACCAGGCCGAAGCACTCGTGAACTATGATCCCGTTGACAAAACTGTTTTGGCCAATGAACAGGTAATGATTATTACCCATGCCCTCTACCGTGGCCACGGTAACTAACCTACACCCACAACGAAATAGGTTGATGCCAATGGATGCTCATGGAGGTCTGGTGCAAAAGTTGAGAAACGAGAATTAAAGCAGTGGTTTTTTCGAATCACGGCTTTCAAAGAAGCCCTCCTTAAGGACCTCGATTCATTATCCGGTAGTTGGCCAGATAGAATTCTGACAATGCAAAGACACTGGCTAGGAAAATCACGGGGTGCTCTTGTCCCATTTAAGATATCAACGCCGGAAGAAACCCTTGACATTGAAGTGTTTACCACGCGCCCTGACACGCTTCATGGTGTCCAATATATCGCCCTATCTACAAGCCATCCAGTAGTAAATAAATTGGCTCAAACTACTCCCGAGCTTCGGGAGTTCATTGATTCCACAGGCTCTTTACCGCCGGAGACAAAGGCAGGATTCAAATTGTCCGGAGTTGAGGCTACCAACCCACTTCATCATTTGGAAGAAAATCCACACTTACCGTCCTCCCTTCCAGTTTATGTTGCACCTTATGTTTTACCTGATTACGGGGAAGGGGCCGTTATGGGGGTCCCTGGGCATGATTCTAGAGACAATGGGTTTTGGAATGAAAACGCCCCTTTACAGCCAATCGTTTCTGTCATTACGCCAACAAAGGTAGACAGATCAGATATTGAAGGAAAGCCTAGTGTTAGTGCGGTATTTTCGGGGTATGGAGAAACCACTGATATATGCGGATCTTACGGCGGGATGCCCTCAAAAGCTGCTGGAGAAAAGATAATATATGACTTGAAAATGAAAGGAAGCCCTGCAAGGTTTGCGGAAAATTGGAGATTACGCGATTGGCTAATAAGTCGCCAACGATATTGGGGTGCACCTATTCCAATAATTCATTGTGACGGCTGCGGAGAGGTGCCAGTTCCTGACAGTCAGCTGCCAGTTGAACTGCCCTCTATTCCAGGTTCTCAGCTGAAGAATAAAACTGGCAATCCCCTGGAGTCCGCAAAAGAGTGGTTGCATACTGAGTGCCCAAGCTGCGGGGGACCAGCTATGAGAGACACTGATACCATGGACACTTTCGTGGATTCATCATGGTATTTCCTAAGATTTTTGGATCCAAAAAACAACCATTCGCCACTATCACCCGCAAAGTCTCGCCCTGTGGATATATATATAGGAGGGATAGAGCATGCTATTCTCCACCTATTATATTCTCGTTTTATTTACAAATTTCTTGCCGACGAAGGTATGATTGAAAATACATCGAATCCCCCGGAGCCATTCCTTAAACTCTTGTCTCAAGGAATGGTCCATGGCAAGACCTACACGGATCCTAAAACTGGCCGCTTTTTACGCCCTGGTGAAGTTGATCTCTCAAACCGAGCCTCTCCTAGGCTTACTGGGACAGAGACTCTAGCGAACGTTTCGTTTGAGAAAATGTCAAAAAGCAAGTATAATGGAGTAGATCCGAATACTTGTATTGAAACTTATGGGGCAGATGCTACCCGTGCGCATGTCCTCTTTTCCGCTCCTGTCAGTGAAGTGCTAGAATGGGATGAAACTAAGATTGTGGGCATTCAAAGATGGTTTAGTCGGATTTGGAAAATTGTGGAGGACACTGGTGATTTGCTCAAAAGGGTAAATTTTTCAGTCACTACTGAGCGCCTTTCGTCGTTGAATGGCATGGAGTTGCCGTCACTAGACAAGCTCTCAGAAGCCGAGAGTAATCTCCTCCTTATGGGACACAACACCATATCATCAGTATCGTACTGCTTGGAGAAGAATCAATATGGCCTAAACACCGTCATCTCTGACCTGATAAAACTTACCAACGCGATTGCGGCCGTACCTTTGCCCGCTGAACCCTCAGAGATATCTTCTCCCGCACAATCTGCCACACCATCACACGCAACGATTTACATAGCACTCAACTCTCTCCTCCGACTGTTGGCACCAATTGCCCCAGCGTTCGCATCAGAGTGTTGGGAAGTACTACACGAACCTCTTCTCAAATGTGATGACCCAAATACACCTTCAGTTCCTTCGGTTTTCTCTTCTCCATGGCCTTCGGAACTTTTGTCAGAGTCTGAGATTAAACAGATACAGTCACGTGGAGCGAAGACTGTTGCAATCCAGGTTAATGGGAAGCTCCGATTTACTGCCTCCATTCCACCATTTCCTGGTGATAATGGCGCCCCTGAGTCAATCAGTAAGGAGCAAGAGCAGGAGTGGATATTATCTCATATTCTCAAGACCAAGGAAGGGAAGCTTTGGCTTGAAGAGAAGAATGATTGGGAAAAACGCAAACGAGTAGTCGTTGTAGGGGGTGGGAAGGTAGTTAATATTGTATTCTAGGGCGGGAAGCCAGCTTGTATATTATGTATATTATTTTGGGTAGATTTAAGCGCCAAGCCATTGGAGATAGATAAAATACTCTCAATTTTCTACTCTGCTCTGCTTGAGCCTAGATATCATGTCACTGGGTTTGATATTTTGTCATAACATATTTGATCTGAAATGCATCGGAAATAGACCGTGCGGTACCGAATAAAAAAGGTAGTAGTTTCAAGCGGTGGTGGGACGAATTTTGAGCCAGCCAGCGGGGGGTTTTAAACAACATAAACGAAAGTAAAACAGATACATCCGTTCAAATGCCCCAGGCAAAATAGAAAAGAGTGGCTAACATATCAAATGCAGTTCGGTAGAGAGTGAAAGGGAGAGCATCCAGCGCCAACTATGGAAAAGATTTAACCAACCAGGGCCGTACCCCTCCTAAAACAAAGAGACATTCAATCGATAAGGAGCCTAATAAACTTTACAGGCTCAAAAAATAAGCAAAAACATTATATAGGGCTTGCACCTGAAATTTGGTGGTGAATCGCGGGTATTATTGCCTTTAGAGTTCAAATCTCATATCCAAGGCGAAGATTGATAAGTAGGAGGAAGAGGGGATAGATGGCCATTTTGGTGCCACTGTGCAGAATAAGCACTAGCGCTAGTTTTGCTATCTCTTAATCGCATCGCTGCTTCAAACAGTACTTGTTGAGGGTCCTGCGGTGGAATGGGAGGAAGCATCTTATCTGCCATTCGTCGAGGTGTACTTGACGCGTATGTGGAAGTAGATGGTTTTGGTGAAGCCACATATTGCTGCAGATAGACCTGCCCAGGGGGTGCAGGATATGTTGGAGTGTTCTCGAACTTATAAGCCTCATTAGAGTGATAATGGAGGTTATTCCTTGAATTTGGGTAAGGGGGTTTCAGTAAAGCAGAATCTAGAGACCTTCGGAGGCTTCCTGATCTATTGAGAGTTGGTGTTGATGGCATGTTTAGTGGCTTATGAGAAGAATTAGGCCCTAGTAAAGCTGGAGTTGACACATTTAACCGGAGATTCATTGGGTATGTCCCGTAGCTCAGTGGATATAACTCAGTAGGTGCAACGGCTGGGCTAAACATTGGAGAATGGTGGACTGGTGTGTTGAACGCTAGCCTTGGAGTCTGAGGCATGACCGTTTCGGAGCCGTATGTAGCAGGCGTTATATCGTTGCTGTGGTATGAAGCGTTGCTAGGCATCACCAGCGCTTCCTTCATAAAGCTACCTCTTGTTTCTGATGTAGCTATTCGATGTGAAGGTGGTTGGCCGACAGAATCGGTTTTTGAGTCCTTTCGAGGTAAATATTCCCCGTTGTTAAGTTTTAGAGTTCTCGATAGTCCTAAGCCGGTTTTGGGTATAGAGGCGTGCCTCTCCTTCGGGATGGTTTTCTTCAGTGGAATACTGTTCGTCTTCTTTTCAACACGTTCAGGCCGGTATACTTCAACTATACCGGAATCTGCGCCCCCAAAGCTACTCCATGTGCTTCGTTTATCCCATACCTGGCCGTCTGATGAAACCGAAAGAACGTCCCGTGGGCCACGTAGAATAAGGAACAAAGCAGAATTAGCGAAGCCAAAAATGTGAATTGAAATCGAAGAGACGAGCCCGGAAGCTTGAGATGGGTGATGGCGTAGAGCTGTTACGAAAAATGGTAGTGGAGAAATCTGTTTAACCCTTAGTACTAGACTCGAATCAGGGATCTTGCGAACATTATACTAACATATAATATAGCACCAAGCACAAAATAAAAGATACTATGCTTCATAACGGTTCTCCGATCTCGGCTTAATCGTCTTGACTTCCGAAGGCGGAACATTAGAACTGATATAGTTGCAAAATAAACTGCAACCAGCAGTACGGTTAAACCAGTGGCAATATCAGCCCAACCCTTGAGCCACTGGGACGGCTCTGCAGAACATTTGCTGCTCGTATTTGGTTTAGCGGCAGATGGTATCCATGTTAGTATAAGTAGGAGAAATATTCCACACCCACAACTCAGGGCAAGCCATATGCCCTTCGGAAAGTTCTTTGACGGTATGACACCTCTCAAGATGAAAGTTAGACACAAAGCTAGAAGCATATACGCGTTGATCCATGATACTAGAGCAGAAAATGTATTTAGTATTACCTATGAATGATTTACCAGAAAAGAACACTCACTGGTCCAGACAACTTGGGCTGAGGTCTTGCAGTTATCCCCATCAACTGGTCGGTCTCCATTAGACTGTGAAATAATGAATGCCGCTTCTTGAATAATTGATGTTATCGAAAGAGAGTATGGAACAACGTAAGTGTTTGGTATGTGGGATAGGATCCCAAGAGGATTTCTATATATTGCACCAGTGAGTAACGTAAATTATATAATGTGGTTGGCAGAAACAGGGAGAGAAATTTGTATACCTTCGAAAAGACCGAGATCCACGTACTATCTTCCAGTTGTCAAATAATATCAGGGCAAAGCTGACAAACGAAGCAATCAGGCTGAATGATGAGGTAGCAATGATGAACATTCGACGCTCCAGGTCCTCGATATTGGAAATACCATATTCGTTGTCCATAGTCTGGGTCTTATTGTTCATAATGTGTTCGGTTGCCTTCGAGCTTCTAGGGTGATGAACTACGTAAAGATCTTAATGAGACGATCAAAGTAGAACAATCCCCAGGCTCAACATCGAGTGTGTATGCTGCCTTATCCTTTCCGTAGAGTCTGCCAGCAGAATGGTCGTGTGAGATATGATGAACGTTCCACTAGGTAGCGAAATAAGAAAGAAAGATAATGAGAAAGATATTTTTAATGCTAGTAAAGAGTATCCAGGTAACCGATCCTCGAAAAGAGGGTGTTCGAGAGCCCAGGCTAGATATAAAAGTTTTCTCCTATTCTTGTTGAATAAGCTTGAAATAAACGCAGTCTGTAGATGATGCACTGACATGCAATATGCACCTGCATTGACAGTGTCATCTATAGCTGGATGTTCTCCATGATAGGTCAAGTTGAATGGACTCCCCACCGTCGATGTAGGAAAAAAAGCCGGCAGACCCCAATTTTCCTGGTACAAATGCTTGCACTACATAGTAAGCTTGCACGTCGTTTATCAAGCCGTGGATACGACAGCCTAGAGAGTGGAGCTCCCGCAACGGCTCAGTGGATATTATTGTAGGAGTGTGCATCCTCTAGGCGCCCGCCATGCATTTTTATCCAGCGTCGATGCATCCTAGTGGCTGCATATTCATAATCATAGATGATTTGGGTCCATATTATCAATCTAGCTGCGTTTGAAATCGCCTCTCATTGATTTCCAGTTGATACCCTCTGATTGACATCTTATATGGGAATGGTTTCTATAAGGGAACCTCATCTCTTTGGAGAGGTTGGCACCTCCAAGTAAAGAGAATAAATATGAGACGTAGACGGCATCTTTTGCTGTTGGCTTATTTGTTGGCTTGGTGAAGGCGAAGTGGAAGACGAAGATGCGGCGATGCAAGACGCAGCTTTAGTAAGCATGCCTTAGTCATCCCCACCCCATGCATGTCCCTGTCAACTCTCTTTTTTTTCTCTATCAACGGAGGAACAACATCCTTTCTTTTGGCCGCTGAGATCTCGAGCTTCAAGTACCCTCCATGTCAACGGCCTGCAGAAACGACCTCTAGCCCATGCCCGGGCTGCCTGGTCTCGTGATATTTTCGCCTATTCAACTGCAGGGAAATGGCACATCTACGAAGGATACGAAGGATGGTTACTACAATGCCTGCTAAGCCTCCTTGGCCCCAAGACGCTGGGTATTCGACCCCCCATACTCTGATATGTAGCAGCTGATGTCGACGAAACTGATATATAGAGCACATATAACATAACTTTCACATTGCCAGGCCCCGCAATCATGGTACACAAGCACATCAGCTTCGAAGTTGCGTTCTGGGGGCATGTCGTGCATCGTTGTTTCAACTCTATAGTTGCGTCCTCTGATAAGTCATGTTCTATTTATTTCACGGCTCCATCGGATAATGGGATATTACTCGGATTCAGGGCCATGCAGTTAGTGGCGTGTATCACTTACCTAGCCTGTTTTATAGTAATTGTGAGCACATATGTTCTCCGGTACATTTTCGGATCTAAAGCCACGCGCCTCAAACTACAACCACCACTTTCTTCCATTACAACTGCAAATCCTAACATTTTATGATAAGGTCAGCTAAATGGCTCTTTCCCCACCAGACAGCCTTTGGATGATCTGCACATTTCCTGTGGAAGTTCTCTGAGCCACAACGGCACCAAGGTCTTTAAACTAGCTAGGGGTAGGGTGCCAACATCTATCTCATATAGCATGATTGGCTAGTACTCTGACAAGCTATATACCCTTACACGGACTTGTAATCCGGTCGATCATTTAAAAGATACCAATTCCCCCATAAGGATACCCACCAGTCAAAAACACACAGGGTCGCGGCCCTGGAATTTCCCTCCTGAAATAACTGGGATACGTAAGGGCTAGTGCATTGCATGCATTGAGCCCTTTGCCTGCATATTCTTGGTGGCGCGTCTCTGCACGACCATAGAGTGGTACCTTCTTTACTAATGAGCTATGTCTATAATTATCTAGCTGCGTTGTTTAAGCTAGCCACGATTTGGCAATCTCTCTCACGGGAGCTATACTAACACTGATAAGCTTGGGACAACGCGGAACTATACGTGTTTTTTTCCCAACTACTTATGCCCTTCAAAAAAAAAAAAAACCATACGGCCTTATATATTGTTCCTTCAGCAAAACCCTCTCGGCATCCTTTTTCAGGTCTTGCTGCAAAAAGGGCTATTTGACGACTATAATTTTGAGGCATCCACTATTCAATACATTCAATCCACAGGAGCTACGGCTGAATCTTTAGAGGCCCAAAGTAATATATATTTGTTATTACTGTTAATTAAACTATAGTGTCAACGTCAACTGCAGCTTCAATTTCTCAGGTCCCCGTGAGGGAGGGAAAAAAGATCAAGAGCCAACATTAAGCACTTGTTCAAAGTGAGACGAAGAGATGGCCTGCTCCGGCCGAAGGTGGAAGTTTTCCACTCAATATCCCAGCCAACATGAGATCTACTTTCTCTCACCATATGCTTTGGTAGCATACTCTCCCTTGTGCACGATGAGGTCTTCGGGTTTGTAGTCAAATTTACCAGAGAAATAGGACTGGAGAATAGATTTAGTGCCCTCCGCGTATCGAATCTGTGCATCAATTGTTGAACCAGACATATGGGGGACCATGGCGTTACCACCACCCCATGGGCCTTGGACATATCGGAGTGGGTGATCCTTTGGAGCAGGTTGAGGGAACCAGACGTCGCCACCATAGCCGCGGAGATGACCTGACTTCACAGCTTCAGCAACGTCTTCCTTGACAACAATTGCACCACGGGCAGTATTGATGAGCCAGGCCCCTAGGTAACCGTTAGTATATCACAAAACAGGCTACGTAAGATCAGAATCAACAACTTACCCTTTTTCATCTTGGAAATCAATTCCTTGTTGAAGAGGCCTCGTGTCTTTTCATGCAGTGGGCAGTTTATGGTGACGACATCACATTGACTGAGCATCTCCTCAAGGGACTCAACTCGACGGCAGCCAATCTCCTTCTCAACCTCTGGCTTCAGTGGCTGGTAGTCATAGTAGAGCAACTCTTTGCAGCCGAATGGCTGTAGACGACGGAGGACACGCTCTCCAATACGGCCGACAGCCACTGTCCCAACAACCTTGTCCTCAAGGTCGTAGGAATTCTTAGCAACAGCAGCAACGTCCCACCCCCCGGTGGAGACTTGTTGGTATGCGGGCACGAAGTTACGGACGAGAATGAGGATCGTCATGACGACATGTTCAGCAACCGAGACGACGTTGCAACCAGTTACCTCTGCGACGGTTATGCCGCCGTTCGTCTTGTTGGCAGCATCTAGGTCTACATGGTCTGATCCAACACCAGCAGTGATGGCGAGTTTGAGCTTCTTTGCCTTTTCGAGACGCTCCTTTGTAAGATACCCGGGATGGAAACTGGGGAGATAAAGGCGTCAGTTTGAGACTCTGGTGGTTTAATTCATGGTATATCGGTGAAGAACATACGGTGTGGTGATGATAATCTCGGCATCGACGAGCTCACGGTCAAAAACGGAGTTCTCGCCCTCCTTGTCAGAGGTTGTCACCAAGGTATGGCCGTTGTCTTCAAGATATTTCCGAAGACCAAGCTCGTTCTCTGTCGTCCCGAGCAGGCCGGGCTGGTCTTTAGCATGCTCGCCACCCTTGCGAAGAATTAGTTAGCCGCTCTCATGAAAGCAGAAAGAGTCCAGTTCACGGGCGGAAAAGTCTTACATCGTACAACACGAGGAGAACCTTGACCTATATTTGGGGACTGTCAGCGCATGAGTTCGAATCAATGGCGAGAGAAAAACTGTAGTAGACGTCTGTGACAGTCTCCTCGGGCAGCAGGATTGGCCTCCAATGGCCAACAATGGAGAGTTAAGTGGTTGATTACCATTGTGTCTGAAGAATTTATATGCGGCTATGGCCTTTGATTTGGTTATTTGGCGGTGATTCCTGGACAGTAGGAATGTTAGCCAGGTCTGAGAACTTATAAGCCCAGGGAGATACATCGATCGAGCCATCGACAACATCCTTTACCCACCTGGAATAGCTTCTATAGTAGGCAGCAAATGCTCACTGATTGATGGGAAGAAGAGAAACAGAATACTACTGTCTACGAAGCGGATCGAGGACGAACTATATATACAGAGCCAACCTTCTCGCCTTCCCCTCCATGAATCTCCGCATATGGAGTAACATTGGTCCATCTAATTACTCTTCTCTCTCTCTCTCCTTCTCTCCGGCCGTTCCAGCGTAGCACCAGCGAGGGACGATTGTGCGGGGTCTTGCAGGATGCCCACCATCAGAGCAGGTTTCTGATCCAATTACCTACGTCCTTCCCTTGCATCTACTATGTATGTTCCAGATGTGCATATATTCCAAGTCCCTCCCCCTGCCGATGTTCTTCTTTCCTTTTATTTCCTTTTATTTTCTTTTTTTTTTTTTTATAGATATTTAACAGTTTGGTGACAAATAGTTTTAACCCCGCACGTGAGGGGAAGGAACGTTGGAGTGATGATGTAATGAGGGGTAACTTGATTCTTTCTCCAACCAGAAACCCACAAAGAGTAAAACACAACAAGGCGAATAGAAGAAGAAATACGGCAAAGATGATGGATATATTTACACGCCATATAGATTCAGACCAGTTATTGTTCTACCGTAGGGGAAGATGGCTATGCTGTCGGGGCTACAATGCCCCTGGACAGTGTGCCTATTTTTATCTCCAGGGGTCGAGGAGAGCCTGTGGGATCCACTTAGGATCCGCGCCAGGGATGAACTACAAGTTATAGATGGATGTTGAAGAGTGAAAGAGATCGAACGGTGGTATTCTGCTAATAACGATCATAATGGTAATGCTAACATAGCCATTTTGTGCCCGAAAAGCCATGAGATACCCAATCTATCAAAGATAATGCCAAAACCAAACGCCAAATACCTCCTTTTCTCATCTAAAGCTTGAGGTTACCAATCGGCCATCAAAGGCAAATAGTGTCCAAATATGACGAGGCTAATGAGAATTGTTAGTATATGCATACTATGGCTTAATACGTGGATTTTGGGACTCACTCAATACCCGGTAGCCAAAGAGAAAACGACGTCCATCTCCAAACGGACGAGGGGCAGGACGAACATGTTCGTCGACTATGGGAGGCCCGACGGATTCGAGCGTCACAAGCCTGTTTTAATCGCTGTTAGCCGGTATAACAACATACATAAGGGGGAAATTTTCGACTTTTTCGAGGACTCACACCGGGGTAAAATCCCTAGTTCCGAGCTGGGAATAATTGGGGAGAGAGGAGGAATGGCCGGAAGTGACAGAAGCAAGTCGACGCGGCAGGAGGTGATGAGTGACCTTGATGATGGTCACATCAATCACCCCCTCCAAGAGGCCCATGAAGTTAGCTGACTCGACCTCACTACCGGGTGTAGGATCTTTATTTCCCCCCAAGGTTGTTAGGCTCATCGATCTCATATATAAGGAAAATAGGGGAGCGGAATACATACTATCCGTAAACCCAAACACAAAGGGAACGTTCTTATAGCCAGCCTCTGTTCCGTGGATGGCACTCCGAATGGAGGTCCAGAGGCGGCCCTCAGCATCACGCTGAAAGTCTGAGAATTTGATAGAATAGAAATGGTTCACAATTTCTCCTTCACCAACTTTAAGTGTGATGTGAATACCGTCAGCACCTCCAGTTCTGGCCTCCTCTTCGCTTATCCGTATGGAGACCTCGAAAGGTTGTTGATGAACTCCGTAGATGTATTGGGACGAAGTTCTACAGTCGAGAGCCCAAGGAACAGGTTGAGAAACAAACAGAGGGAGGATGTTTTCAAATTCTAGGAGAACTCTCTGAATGTGGGAGAGACTTATAAAAACCTCTACTCCGTCAATGATGGCCATGATAAAGACTCACTGATAAAGGTTTGGATGGGAATATCAATAAAGTAAACCTAGTGAGCTGGTGCTTGACAGACTGGTCCGGACTGTGGAAATGGGGGAGTTTGCAGACAGATATAGGCAGGAGATAGAAGAAACAGGGGTATGAGGGAATGTCGTTGGTGATAGTTATTATCAGGAGACATTTTATGTGGAAGACGTGAAGAAGATGAAGTCAGGAAAGGTGACTTTTGTGTGTATTCTTGCTGTGTTGTTGATCTAAGAAGCCGAAGGTTCCAGAGAAGAAGAGTATTGTAGATGGCACTAGAGGATTATATGCAGTAATGCCCATTATAGTATACAACCAACTTGGAAGGGTATAAAAGTCCAAGCAGGAGAAAATGTCTATGGTTAAAAAGTGAAGAAGGGGAGAAAGGAATATAGAAGGAACGGAGTAGTAACAAGAAAAGACTCCGAAAGTTCATTATTGGGGGAAAACCGAAAAAAATTGTAGTAGTAGGGGAAGGTCATATCCGCCTGGTTCCCGGGGTATCTTCCCCATCGCTATCTGGTATGAAGCCATCCTCCAGCTCCCGGGCGAGCCTTGCCTCTCTCCTCTCCTGATCGAGCGCCTCCCGTCTAGACTCGTTCAGCTCATAGCTGTCTTCACCATCATCATCAAACAAGCTGTCCGAGTCCTGTTCGTGGGCTAGGTCTCTGTGTCTCCACGATGATGGCAGGGTAAAATTCATGAGAGCATCGAATGCTCGTTCTCTCAAGGAGGTCGTGTGAACTGATATTGTATGTAAGGGTAGATACTGTGAGTACCGCTGCCGATGCTGCCGGACAAATGGAGCAATGACAAATGAGATTGTCAGGTAGAGGACGAGAGATATCAGCGCGGGAATGAACAGTGTCTATGCGATAGAATGTTAGCTTGCTGGACGGGGTTTGAACCCTAAGACGATGAACAGACCTTGATGACACCGGTAGCTCCTCCCATCGTGGCAGAACTACCAACCGGTCATCCTACAGCTACAGCTGTGTCTCTTCCGTGTATTCCGTTCAGCTTCTCTTCCCGCCTTGCCTTGTCTCTCTCTCTCTCAGCTCTCTTCTTCGTTGTTCTTCCATATATTATTGAATTGAGGCTTGCATGAGGCTTGCGCGGTATACCTCAAGCACGTGACCTTCTAGCCGCTTCTGGATGCGCCCCCCGGCCCCCCTGAACGCCATTCAGAGCGCTTGTCAAAAAGGGTTTCGCTGTTTTTTTGTGGACGACAAGCAAACGCGCGATGGACCTGGAGTGTCTGAAGACCCTGGACGATATAGATAATAGCAATCTGGAGCTCTCCGAACCTGTTTTCCCGCGCCCCTCTCCGACCGTCGAGACAGCCGAGCCAGACCTGCGGGTTTAGTTATTACTAGAGCGTGCAGTGCCCGGTCTCAACAAAAGCGACTGACCTGTTTACATTTCCACATGAAAGAGGACGACCGGCCGCATCTGGAGGAGGATACAGTGATCGCCTAGTTCGTCGTTCGATTTTTTCTCTGCTGTGAGAAAGCCGGTCTCCTTCTTCCATGCGTTGGAGACAGTGGCAGGTGCATGAGTTTCGGCTGTAGTGAAGTCACTCGAAGATAGTCAACTATATAACCATTTAACCCACCAGTTTCACCTCCCCCCCTTCTCCTCGCTTGCTCTTACAAAGCCAACACGAACGATCGGTCCCACCGTACGGCCCTTCTCCTCCCCCCCGATAGTTGCAGATACTCTGGCAAGCCGGTGCGGCTAGGCCAGCTTCATGGTTCGCCGGGAACGCCGTCATGACATCAGATAAACCGTCGAAATCGTTTTTTGGGAGAAAACTGCACAAAGAGCGTCCTACGGATCTGCGCGCAGAGACACCGGAACCGTCTGGCACGGCAAGTAGTGGATCGGGATCGCGGTCGTCGAGATATTCGAAACGAGAGTCTGGCCTGTCCGTGGATTTGTCTGGTGATATCGAATATCTCTCTGGTGTGATAGGATCAGTTCCATATGACAGTATACCTGTGCGAAAGGAGCCAACGCCTTCCAAAATGGGCAAACCAAATGATTATCATCAGTATCCCCAGTCCCAGGGTTATCAACCGGCAAACGGTGCAATGCATCTGTCAGGTCCAAGACCCCCGCCGGGACCCTCTGGGGCTACCGCCTCCTATCATTCTCAGGGTGATAGGGGAATAAAGTACCAAGCATGGAACGGACATAGCACATACTCTTCCACGGAATCATCCAACCCTCGAAATTCTATGGACCAAAATAGCATCTATTCTACGGTATCCTCCGCCCCCCGAGGTTCAACCCAAACCAACAATACGGATAACGCCTACCGATATAACTACCCTACTCATCCTCAAGACCCCCGCGCCCAACCCTCCAGCTCTTCAGGGAGCCGTCCCTCCACTTCGTCGAAGTCTGACTGGCTTCCGCCACAGCTACCTATCGTATTTGGTGCTACCTTACCAATCTCCGCGGATGGAGCAGTACAGAGACCTAAAGATGACGCTGTCGTGGACCAGATGTTCTACGAACTTATGATAAAACGAGGATGGCAAAATCTACCAGAACAAGCTAAGAGACAGATGCTGGCTTACCCAACTTCAAAGAAATGGACCTTAGTTCATCAGGATAGACTAACCCAATGGCAAGGGGAACAGAAACGGCGCCAACAGAATAGACAAACTTATGGTTCTGCCGATGGAAGTAGAGGTCTCCTTGGGCGAGCGGACGAAGAAGGGAGTCCTGAGTGGTACGTCAAGAAAGTCATGGATGACTCTATAACAGGAAAGGAGTTGGCGAGTCTAAGTGTAAGCTTACGAACACAGCCTATAAGGTAAGTTATAGAATAAAAATGAACCCTCAATACACAGAATGTTTTATGCTGATAATGTCTACATAGTTGGGTCAAGTCATTTGTCGAAGCTCAAGGTCAAATCGCTTTGACGAGCGTTCTTCTCAAGTTAAACAGAAGGAAGGCTTCAGGACCAGTACCTGTGAACAATTCCGGAGCAGATCAAGACCGGGAATACGACATTGTAAAATGTTTGAAGGCCTTGATGAACAACAAATATGGTGCCGACGATGCCCTTGCCCATCAACAGATCATTGTCGCCCTAGCAAATTCCCTGACATCGCCCAAATTAACAACGAGGAAATTGGTCAGTGAAATCCTAACCTTCCTGTGCGATTGGGCACATGGTCAAGGGCATCAAAAAGTTCTACAGGCGATGGACCACGTAAAAAATATGCAAGGAGAAACTGGCCGGTTCGATGCTTGGATGCGTCTGGTGGAAGTCAGCATCGATGGAAGAGGTAAAATGGGCAGTCTCGTCGGCGCAAGTGAAGAATTTCGAAGTGGTGGCATAGGAATGGAGAATCTCCTTATGGAATACGCCCTGGCAACTATGTTTTTGATCAACATGTTTATCGACGCTGCGGAAGATGACTTACAGCTACGATGCCATATCAGAGCTCAGTTCACTGCTTGCGGAATCAAACGACTCCTTGGTAAAATGGAAGGCTTCCAGTACGGTGG